CCTTTCACCTTCTGCATTTCAAAGGTGGAACACGGTGTGACACTTTCGTCTTTGAAATGTAGCAACAGCTGGGTCGGCTCTTGCTACATTTCAAAGTGGAAGCGCCCTTATCGACTCATCAAATAGTCGATGGAAATTCCATTAGTTGATTAATCTAATTTTAACATCCCTAAAATGTAGTAAGAGCCGAGTGGTTCTTACTATATTTAGCAGGCAAAGGCGGAGCGGGGGACCGGTGCGAGCCAGGACTCCGCTGTCCCGGCTTGTGCCTGATCCCTCGCTGTGCCTCTGTCTCCTCTGCTCCCCATGGAGACTATTGGAGGAACTGGCTTTTAAGCTGGTTCTCCCCAGCACCTGCTCTTGCTTCTGCCCCCACCATGCTGCCTCTGGTCTGGGCGGGGGGAGGGAGACATGAACCTAGGCTTATCCTGTAGTCAACTACTGGACTAGTTGCTTAGATCCATAGCTCTAGCTAGCTTTCTTAATGCAAACTTAGCATAGTTCTGTAACACTTATTACTTTATGTAATGTGATAGGAAGCCTGTAAAGAGTTCAACTGAAATCAGGAAAACTAAGCCTCTGAGGAGAGGAAAAAGCATTCATTATCTCTTTAAAGTCTAATGTCTTCTAACTTCAGAATTGTGTGAATTTACCACTGGAAAAACATACTGAAAGGAATAATGCTTGCTGTTCATAAAGGTTCATTTCTGCACACTGAATTAGCACGGCAGGTTGGGGTGAAAGCAGAAGCTGCTCACCTTTTGAGTCACTCTGTTAAAGATTTAGGCTTCTGACTTGAAGATAAACTACTGCAGTTGACAACTAAGTGCCTAGTCCAGGATGTCAAAGTAACATTATTGCCACAAACTAGAATATGTAAACCAAGTATTGACTTTGGGCATGTCCCATCTTTACTGTGCATGGTACAGGATTGGCTCAAGCTAAACATCCAGTAGCACACTTACTTAGAAATCCCTATTAAATGTATACAAACCAATACTCTGTGTTTTGAGGTGGGTGAGATTGGAAACTTGTTAAATCTTTCTCTAATTTTTTTCCCCCTCTCCAGGGAGCTCTCCTTCGGTCGTGGGTCTACTGCACCAGTAGGTGGTGGGGCTTTTCCTAAAATTAACACAGTTGAGCCATGGGATGGCAAAGATGGTGAGGTAAGGGGCATTTTTTCACTGGGTACATGAACACCGTGTTAAAAAGAAATGCTGAGCAGAGGCACTGAACCAGTGTGAACATTGCTTTCCTCGAAATGCTTATTTCCAGAATAAGTAAAACATGTTTTGTAGCTTTCCTCACGAAGTATTCGGACAGTTGCCTTTTTTTTTTAAACCTAAGATCCATAGCCATTTGGTAATAAAGAATGGCTAAGTAATATTGTCATGCTCATTCTCTAAACTAAAACTGTATTGACTTTCCTGTTGTCTCCGTAACATCTAGAAGTTAAACAATAGGAAACCTAACCCAGACCCATCAGACAGCTAGCTATCTGAAGTCATGGACAGTTATACTCTATCTTGTTAATGTCTTATATCCTAATCAATAATATTATATGTCAAACAGCTGAGGCTGAAACACAGTTTACTGATTACCTCAGATAATGAGCAAACTTCAGTGTGTGAACTAAAGGGTTTACTGTGCAATCGCACCTGAAATGTATATGATGCAGCAGTATGGTGACTTAACTCAAAAATTTCACTTATATGGCACTTAGCTACACAGTTTCCATTGATAATGAAGTCATGATAATTGAGTCATGCACTAAATCCTTGATTCTTTAGGGTTCAGTGCCAAGTCTTTTGTACAAAAAGAATGGGGAGGGGACAACCAAAGAATCACTGGTGTAGCTTTGTTTTAATAAGAACTTGGCAATGCCGTACAAATTCCAACTTTCTGGATAGCATGTAGTAAATAAATTCTCTGGTAGAAAGCATCCCAAGGAACATGTTCTTTACTGGTCCCAATCTCAGTTAAGTGGCCACTTAGTGCATTTCAGCATGGGCCAAGTGTCTATCCATGTGAGCTTAAACTTTTCCAATAAAGTGCCGTTTAGCTCTCTGCACGTCCAGACTTAGTCTTATTTTGGAAGACTGTTCCGTTATCTTTGGTATAGTATTGATTTTTCAAGTAACTTAATAGACCAGCATTACAAGCACTGGTGTTCAAAAACTTCATTTACGATTCCGCAGCTTCCGGTTGAAGATGATATTGATCTCAGTGATGTGGATCTCGAAGACTGGGATAAAGATGAATTGTGAGATCTTCAGGAAGCTTCTTTTCTTGGGGGAGAGTGTGCAGCAGTTTGGAACATTGTTCACAATCAAATGGATATTCCAGTGGCTTTTTTTACAGAGAAGTTACACCTGGCCAGATACCTGGAACATTGTGATAGTGAACTGTATGCCTCTCAAGAAAACATTGCAAAAATTCTATGAATTGTTGTAACCAGTAAATTTGATTGTATTCTGTGTAACAAATATTTTGAGGACAACATTGATCTTTGATTACAACAGCTTGGGTTTTATTTTGTCCATAGAGTATGTGCCCTTTGAATGTGTGCGGGGGATGTTACTGTAACCATTTTAAAATGTGATTATTTTTTTTCCATTCAGATGGAACTTGACTAGCTTCTGTTTCAATTAAAGAATAAAACAAGATATTTTTGACATAGAATAATAGAGTAAAAAATGCCCAGGTTCAGATGACTGGTGCAAAGTGAATCGTATATATCAAAGAATGGTGCTGCAAGGCTCTTCAATTACTCCAACACTATAAAACTAGTCTTATCTTCAGGCAAACCTGTCAAGAAGACAATCTTGGTTTTAAATGCTCTTTGTAGTCTTCCCTTTTCTCCTATTTTCAGTTTTTTGGAAACTTCACACCACCTCAAGTTGTGGTCTTGTCCAATAGCTGTGTCAGTGCTTGAATGGGAAACGTCTAAGGAAAATGCAGGACTGCGAAACCTGCTACTGATTTCAGAAAGTGGCAGTTTTCCTTTTAGTTGGTAGTGAGCCAGTGGCATGCCAGAGTGTGAAAGGTCAAAGAGCTGCTGTAACTGCTGCTTTCTATCTCTCTGCCTAAAACTGATACTGGTCTCTTCAGCGGAGCCCAGGTGTTATCTCCAGCATCCTGGCCAAATTCCAACTTGGGTGATTATGTTCTGCCTCCTTATATTTCCTCTGCATTTTCCACTGGCACTGGTATTCTTTGCTTCCCATTTTACGTTGTTGAAATATTTACCGTCTCGCCCTGGGGTGGTTGCATTTTGATGTTGGGTATAGTTATTACTATATTTGTAAAAATCAATATTATAAAAATGTAAGGCCAAAGGTATTAAATAAATTAACATTTTGCTCTTGGCCCCCTATTGTATCAGTGTCAAGCAGAGTTACTGTACATGGAACTGACCTGTTTGAGATAAGGCGGTGGAATAACTGAAAGCTCCTTTTCACAACAGTAACTTTATAAATCTACCCCTACCCAAATTGTCTTGAAAATGTCTTTCACTCTGACGAGTTGATGGAAGGTGGTAGTAATGGGTAACAAATAAGTACTTACAAAAGCTTTGCAGTCAATTCTTTTGTTTAGATGTGAAGTTTTGAAACTGGCCTTCAGTGATAGGCATTGTCTCCACTAAGTGCTACAGTTGCATCAGTATAACTGTACTACTGCTGCAGTTTTAGTGTGTTCTTGTGCTCTTAAGTTGTCTTTAAAAATGATTTAGGCACTTGGAGCTTTTGAAAAAAATACCCTTTCTGGTTTTAAGAAGAGCAGGATTTCCTTGATTTGTTATATTAAAAACATCAAACTATAGTTGAAAAGACAAATGTTAGAAAAAATGATTGTATATTGCTAGCTAATCTCTACCTACCAGCCTATTTTAACTTTTGATTTTATTTTGAATTACAGTAACAATGATCCCCCTCTTTGTAACTTAAAAATAAATTTAAAAATCCACCTGCTAATGAAGCATGTTTTCTAACCTTATGAAGTAGAGACACTATAAAATAATAAAACACTTTGAAAATAAAGTGGAGTAGATTGACAATTTAAATTACTATGCTACATATGCAGAAGAATTCGTATAAAATTATCCAACTAAGCAGGTTGTCTGCCTTTTAATTTGATTGTTAATGGCTGAAGAGCATAACTCTACAGGAACAGGTGCACAGAGTAAGTCAAGCTTGACTTATTTTTCTTAACTGTAATCAAGAAGACTGAGGTCAATCTTGAAATAGACATAAGGATAGTATTCTTGATTGCTCAGTTGTAAGCCAGGAATGTCCATGCTCATCTGCAAAAAGAGAGAAAGTTAGATGTGAGAAATCATATAACTTAGAATTTTTTGTTAAAAAATAACTCTTCACCTTCTCCCTCCTCTACCCTCCAGGATTGTCTGTAAATTGCTTCCTACCATGGGATTGTGCTCATCTCTATTAGAATAAAGTGAGGTTTTTGTAATAGTATTACTTAGGAATTGCCAACATGGAGAGGGAAGAAACTAGGGGGCTTCTTGGTCATAAGAAATTGCCACCCGGGATCTAACCTGAGGTCTATCTAGTCCAGTATCCTCTCTGATGGTGGTCAGATGCTTCAGAAGGAAGTGTAAGAAATGTCCGATTAGGTCCTTTACACTAGATCTTAGTCCCTTATAGAGACTAAACCCTTATAGGCCAGAACCCTGAAACGTTAGGTGCTAACTGATCTGGTTCCTGCTAGGGAGGTAATCGACTAGTTGACTATCTGATAAAGCAAAAGCTTATCAGATGGTCAACACACTAGCTGACCAGTCACTTCTCAGCCCTCTCGCCTCCCCCGTTTGCTGCCTTTATCAGCAAGAGGCAGCAAGGACAGGGGATGAGGCTTAAAAGCTGATTTTGGGATGCCGGGGGAGCCGGCTTAAAGCCAGTTCCCCCCAGCTCTGTGGGTGGGGGCAGGGGTGCAGTGCGGTGTTCCACCTTTGAAATGTACAAGAGTCCCTACTGGGGAAAAGCGGAAGCTTGGCGTATGGAGCTTGGGGCCAGCCGGGGGGCCTCCCTGCTGGCTCCAGTCTACACATTGAGTTTCAATCTTTGAAATGCACAAGAGCCCCTACTGGGGTTCTTGTATATTTCAAAAGGGGCAACACCATGTGGCATTTCCACCTTTGAAAGGTAGCAACAGCTGGGCGGCTCTGATCAAATAGTCGATGGAATTCCATCGACTATTTGATTAGTTGATTAATCTAATTTTAACATCCCTAGTCCCTGCATTACAAGCATTGATTTTTAAATTGTTACAAATAAGTCTTACAAATATAAAGTCTGTTCAGAACTAATGGCCATAGTGTCTCATGCAGTAGATGGAACACATACATCCATTATACTTGCTGCTGCCACTTCATCCAGATGTTTGAAGACTGCATGAAGAACATCTCTCAAGCGTTTTGCAGACTTTTTGGTGGGCTGCAGCAGCATTGCCTGGAAATTCACAGGTAGGCCATACCTTTAAATACACAAGTACATTTTGTGCTTTTGGTACAGTGCATTCATTTCAAACCTCTCTGGGAAACATTTATTTCTTCAATCCCATATCAGCCTGTTTTCATCTGCTCACTCCTCTCCACCAGTGCTGAGCATCTTTTCTTTGTGCTGTCTCATCACCTGATACTCATCACTCTGATCTGGGATGCATGAGAGCACTATTTTTCCTGTGAAGACTGTGTTCTCTCCCCACACTAGCTGTTGTTTTTAGAGCCCTGCAAATTTTCAGATATCCATTTCATATCAATGGCTCATTTTTGCTGATAACGGTTTGGATACAGATACAAAATTTGTATCCACTCCAGAGATGTGTAATCCCATTTAATTGATTAGCCAACTAAAGCAGGCCCTACTAGTTGTCTTTAAAGGTCAGGCTTACCAGTTAACCATTCATATCCCTAATCCGTGCAGTGCTCTAGTAATTTTTCCCCTCCCCTGTAAATATACTTCAATAGTTACTTTCACTCTTTTGCCTCCATCATGAGTACTGTTCTCAGACATCTAAAGTTTCTAGCTGCTAGTAGAAATTTCTAGAGCCAACTCTTTAAAGTGGTGAGTCTTTCCCTCTAAAGTTGTCTGTACACAGCTCTAAGAAAATAAACCACTTGTGTTCACTTCTGCATATTTACCCACTTACCTCAGGACAGATTCGACAAAAACTCTCAGGGCTTTCACATGAATCCAAGCCACAAATACTTCACTGAAGTTCACTTTCAGCCAACGCAATAGCGGCCCCTGTGGCAATAAACAGAGTAATTGCTATTTCTCACCTTGCTTTGGAAGTATTGATACTGCTGCTAGCTCTACCATTTGCATTTGTGACTAGGGACCAGGCTTGGATGACCTTGTGCAAGTCACTGATGCAGACTGCCTCTTTTTTCCGCCTGAGTAAAAGATACTTTTCTATTCTAAAGAGATGCTGTGAACTAAAGATCCATTTATGATAGTGAGCTGCTGAAATATTACAGTGAGGGATGTATCAGCCACTAGAAAGTCATATCAAAGTGTTACTTACATACTGTTGTTTCTTTTCAGAAGCTAACTTCATCATTTCTTCTTTTTCACATTTCATTTCTTTCTCATCAAAATAAAATTCTCGGACCATGAACCTTAAAACAAACAGAATTGGCTTGTAATAGCTGCTGCTCCTATATCTTGCGTGGTAATTTGCCCTATGCTTCTGCATGAATATGCATTCTAAATGACCAGCCATTGCCATACAATGTGCCCAGAGCAATGAAGAGTCATTTCAGCATAGCAGACATAGTGTGCCTTAGGCAAGCAGTAAGACAGCTCCTGGGGGGTGGCTGCGGACAGCTGCAGTGTCACTCCTGGAGACTAGTGTACATTCACTCCCACAGAGGACAGACCATGCTGGGCAGGGAGGAGGCCCTTTCTCTCCATGCTCTCAAGGAATCTAGTGCCAGCAGCAGCACTAGATGTGAGCAGTGTTTGTACTTAAAGAAGACCAAAGGCATGGGGTTGTGCTTGGTTCCTGCATCTGCTCCTCACCCATGGGAGCTTGACCCAGTCTGCAGGAGCTGTTCAGTGACTACAGTACCTGTTTTCTCTGGCTTTGGCTTTGAAATCATCCATCACTTTTCTAAACAGTGTTACAGTGAACAGTCCACCCTCTGCATCCTCAGCAATCAATCTGCAGGAAGGAAATGCATTGTTGTGCCATGGAGGATGCTCTGTGCTTTGGTTACCTGATTTATTTTGCAACTCCCCTTTCGACAACTGATCGACAGAAAAGTTTGCTAGGTTTGCTTCTACTGAAAGGCAGGACAAAACGGCCCAA